CGATTGTAGCTGAAGGCTCCTCTACTGGAGTTTGAAAAATTGGTCGAAGGTCTTCTAAACTGAGATTGGGTGAAATTTGCTTGCATGGCTGTTGTCTCAGTGGTTCTTTTATGCTTCTCCATTCTTTGTTCTTAAGCCATTAGCAAGGCTTCGATTTCTCTCACAGTGTAAGGGTCTGTTCTTGAGATGACAAATGTTACAAAAGGATCATAATCCTCATTCAGACCATCTAAAATGGCATCAATGTGGTCTTTTGGTGTGATGGGAGAGCTTGAGGCAATCAAGGAGTCTACTATCTTTTTGATCTGCAGCAGATATTGTGAGACACTTCCTTCTTTCTTGATGTTCTTGAGCTGCAACTTTAATTGCTTTACCTTTGCTCGGGTTTGTGATGTAAAAAACTCTTCAAGTTTTTGCCAGACCTGCAAGGAGTTCATGCATCCCACCATTCTGGTGTAGATGGTTTCTGACATAGATGGCAGAAGCCATGATAAGAGAAGCTGATCTTGTTGAACTTCGGTAGAATCCTTTGCTGTTGTAGCCTTGGTGCCAGTTTTATCAGCGACACTTGTCTTTTCTGTATCTTCTTGTGAATCTTGCTGGACTGCAGTTGAAGTCTTTGAGGTGGAAGCTGAAGTTTCAGGAGTAATGAATCGTGTAAGATTGTATCCTTTGATAGTTGCCAATGCTTGTTGTTTCCATGACAAGAAGTTGTCCTCATCTAACTTGAAAGAAACTGGATTGTTGAAAGATTGAATAGAGGTAGGCTTATCGGTCTCCATGGATCATAAGCTCTTGATACCATGTAAGATAAAGAAAGCATGTAGAAAAGAAAGAAATTCTGAATAATACTGAATATTGATTAATTGATTTTCTCTGTTTACATTCTACTATATATACAGAAGATGATTAACTAACAGGTTTAACTACTAACTATCAGAATAACTAACTATTAATGGATTGGGCCTTGATGACCCATTAGCCTAATATATCCTTTCATGTTTATGAAAAGACATGTTAAAAAATGTGCAAAACCTTTAACTTTGAGACTTGGAAAATGAACAAAATAATTAATTTCGAAAACTAATCCTCCTAGCTAGAAATACATTATGATAATCACTTATGTTCAATTTTTTTTCTTGGTGAATCTGTATTCTATCGAGGCTCATTTTTTGAAATTTTTCCCCAAATCAATCCATTTGTTGATTAGTAGGTTAAAAATAAGCATTACAAGAAATTAAAATTTAAAATAGTAAGCTCCTATGAGCTTATGTTTGCACTAGACAACAATATATTCCGTTTTCCCCCAAGGGGCATGTAAATCAATTGGACTATAAATAAATCTAGATTTAAGTTCAGAGTGATCTCGTTTACCATACCAAATTTATGCAAAAGTGTTGTTATCAAAAAAAAAAAAAAAAAATTATGCAAAAGTGTTTGAGCCTAAACGAAACTCTATATATATTAGCTGTTAATATTTTTTATGTATTTTATAAATTTTAAAATTATACAAGTCAATAATTAATTACAAAAAGTCTTATATATCAGTTTATTATGATTTATTAACTGTAAGGAGCTTCTTAGTTCTATTTGCATATTTTAATACTCCTATTTATAAATAATAATTAATATTATATAATGCTTGAAAATATAAATATTTATTTATTAAATTTTTTAAAATCTCTAACTAATCTCATTAAGAAAAAAGAAAAAAAGAAAAAACTTGTACTACAGTAACAATGTTCAATCCAAATTGGGAAGATGAAGGTTGTTGTATAGACCAGGATGGAGTTAACTAGGCCTCAATCAAGTTAATTTGGGGGCAGATAAACTCAGAACACCATGATATATGGCAAAGCATAACGGGTAGTATGAGTTGGGGCTTGGTTCTGGCGAGAAGAATAAGAAGAAAGTTCAGAGCATGTAAGAATATTGTTGAGGATGATATACAATTAATTCAAGAATCATTATTTTCTTTGGGTGCTGTGTATCACCATCATGAGATACATTGTGTTAGAGATCGAGCTAAATATTAAATGATATATGATTTTAATTGAAGAAAAGAAAGTTAATTGTTAAAGTTGTCACATTATATATTAACACTACCTTTTCGTTCCAATTGTGTAAAGTTATTATTATTTTTTAAATAAAAAGTTTTTCCATCCGGTAAGTTTAACTGTTTTTAAATCTTAGCTTCTAGTCTTTTTACCCATAGGAGACGCAACTGAAAAGTATTAGTGGAGAAACAAGAAAAATCATTTAATTTGAAGCAAAGCGAGTAGGAGTGGTCACTGCACCAGTGATTGTCTTTGATACCTTGCAGTCCACGATTTCAATTTTCAACTGAAAGTGACGTTCTATTTGTCCATGTCCTTGACGTTCTATTTGTCCATGTCCTTGACGTTCGTTATCTTGGAGACTACGAACTTACTCTGTAAAAGAAGCTCCCACGTTGGATATAATACGTTTTAAATAAATGGCTGAGATTCATCAACTGCAACTTGTTGAATGGTCAAGTCCCCATTGAATTTATGGCAAAACAATTATCCCCATTGAATAACATCTCTTTGTCCCCACAGAATAGGTACATGAGTGATGAAAATGACTCGTTTGATGCACATGATAAAAAAAAAAGAACGAATGAGTTGAATAATGATAGAATAGGATGACTTTTTGATAAGCTTATATCATTTTCTGTATTTGATGTGCACTAAATAAGTAGTCTAATAAAATAATAATATGTTATCTTGTATTTGGTGTGAATCAGGTTGCGTCATGATATGTTTGAAATAGACAAAAATACCCTTAATAAAAAAATTTCATATAATTCTTTTTTATTTGATTTTTAAACTTCTTTTTTAATTTATTTATACATTAATTCCTATTTTAAAATTGATTAACGTAAATTGCTCATAATTAATTGATCAACGTAAATTGCAAATCCAGAACGATACCATTTCTACTGCCATTATCTTATTCTACCATTATCCTCATCCACATGATAGCAGTCATCTTAATATGATCTTATCATCCATGAACCCAACAGAAACTGATTCTAGCAAACAAATTAAATAAGCAGAAAGTAGCAGCACATTCACAATGAGCAGTACCACTTCATCAAATTGATATACAGAATCATCTGAAAACATTCATTATCACACAGCTAAAGATGAAAACTTTGAAAACAGATATGAAGAAGCTGTGAACAAATTCTATATTGGAAGAATTAGAATCATATTGCTATCAATAGTGATTGTGTAAAGGCAACATCTGATATCCCAATGATAAATCAGTTTAACATTAGACAATTTCAACATTTCCATTTGGTAACGCACTCATCTGCAGACTGCAGTGTTCTAGCACTGCCTGATGCCAAAAACCGTACAAATGTTGAGTGGCCTATTTGCTCTATCACCCCAAGACTCCAAAGTGCACTCATATTAAAAACAAGATGAATAACATTCATATGTGAAAATGCAGAGGTTAATTATCCTCCAATAATGCCCTTCTATGGCAGTCTCATAACTCATACCCACATGTGAATATCCAATATTTTTCTTCTGTATATAGAACCAAATCGCACTGCATATTCCTATAACACAACTGGTGGCTGGTTTTTCCAAGATCTCATAAAACAAAGGCTTACCCATTTCTCAAAATCCCTTCTAAATTTCTCACTGACTCCAATTCTGAACTACACTTGTGCAATTCTAAAATTAGAACTTCAGCTCAGCAAGAATGGTGAGTAATTTCACAATCAAACAAGACAACAAAGTCTATTCAATCCAATGTTCCCAAATTCAAGAGTTTTTTTACCCCCCTCAGAGTCCCAGAAATTATTGAGATCCACCAAAAGTTGCCCAAGAACTAATTCAACATGGCTATGAGAACAACCACCCATAATTTCCGCTGGTAAAGGCAATTCGAGAACTCCTCTGCAGACCAAGAGAAAGAGCGAGAAGACAACATCTAGTTGTAGAGAGAGAAATAGCGAGAAGACAATGTCTAGTTGTAGAGAGAGAAAGAGGAAGAGAAGTTAGAGTAAATTTCTCGCTCTGCAAAAGCAGAAATTACCTCTAGATAACAGGATTAATATTTTCCCAAATCCTATCCGGTAGAATTCTAACGCAAGGGTCCCCTCAAGATAAGTTATCAGGTCTCAAATAGGATAAAATGAGTGAACCAGATAAACTTTTCCTATCCCTTGGGCTCACCAAACATCAGATAAGAATAGGATATGATAAACTATCCTATCCTCTTTATCCGGTGTACCAAACGAGCCCTAAAAATAATTGTGGAAGATGAGATTCACTTATGTCGCTTTTATTTGCAAGCAATGACTGATTGATGGTGTAATTATGAAGCCTATTCCTTTAAAAATGTAGCGTCATTATCCATTGTGTCAATTATAAGGTTAATTTTCTTTTTTATCTATTTAAACCGACCCTAATTACCTCTTTCAGGCGAGTCTGCCCCCTAGTATCCTCATAAGCTTCAACTTTTTGAGTCGGCTATGAGACTAATTCCAAGTCAAAACTTAATCACAGTTAAAGCTCTTTACCTCTCTCCAAAGATGTATGTGGTGAGAATCAAATCCTGATTCTCTCCCTATCTATTCTGCCAATGTTGCCAACTGAACTACACCCATTGGGCAGATTAATATTCCTTTTAAAATATAAGAATAAGTGGAAAGATGAAAAGAGCACGTTCCATAGCTTCATGCTTTCAGATTACTATATTCTAATGGAGAGATGTCATGTTTTATTGTTCCCTACAGCAAACTAGAGTTTTTTGTTTGCTTTGGGAAAAAATTGTTGGAGAGTGCTTGTTTAACATATGCTTCTTTTACTTCTTTTATCAAATTGCTTCATTGTTTGTTAATAGTTACCTGCTTAATCATAATTTCATACAAAATTAATTTATTTTACCAACAAAATTAAAATCAATGCAGAAATTAATAATTCATTTCATTTCAACTTATCCTAAATGTACAACACTGCTATAATTCATTACACCCTTGACACGGGATTGTAAAATGGTAACAGAACAATCGAGCTTCCTATCTATCACCATAAGTTAACAAAACAGCATGACACAGTTTAAAGAAGGAAGGTTTTAAAAAACAATGTTGCAAAACGAAAAAAGGAGGCAGAATATTTATTTAAAAAGAGGGATCAAAAGGTAAATAGAGACTCAAATCTTCTGTGATTACAAATAAGGTATATATTTATATTAGGATTTTGAAGAATTGATATGTTTCAGCATTACCTTCGCAGATTCATGAGCAAAGTATTTTTGCCTAAGCATCACATATGGGTACCCAACAAATGATAAAATGTGGGCAGGCTTTGAGAAAGAAAGTATTTCATACCAAACTTGATTGTTCTCATCAATCTCAATTGAAAAGCGCTCTTCTCCTGCCTGTTGCCAAAAAGAGAACAAATTTAAGCTGATTAGGATTTTTTGTTTCTTAGTAGCTTTGTTTGCTAAAAGCTCAAATATAAGATACCAATCACGGGTAAGACACTCATTGAAACCATTTCCACAAAGATTAACATATTAAAACTAATTCAGTTTCTCCATATTTGAGTAGTTTTGCATGCTAAAAAAATTCCTATATATATATATATATTCAAGCATAAGACAAACTTATTGACGGCAGCAATAAACAATGGTTATTAAGAAGTGAGGAAAATGATCGAGTTTGCTTTGCTTTCTCTCACAAAATACCATCAGTAGAAATAAGTATACTGAAGACAGCAGAATGAAACATGCTACATGAGACCTTATTTGTGAATTTTTAAGTTATACCAGAACTCATGTTACTCCCCAATTTGTTATTCAGAATTTCTGAGAATGAATGGAAAGTAATTTCCATAAACCCTTGCAGGAAAATAGTATCAGGATTCAGGAGCATATTAACAACCAAAACCAGTGATTCATATGTTCAAAACCCATTCAAAAATAGTGAAGTTAAACTTGACCACAAAGGAGTTTGTGAAACATCATATTTGACAAGGAAGACAAGTAGATAACAACTTTGCAGACTGCTGAGCTATTAGAATGCATATGGATTTGAGGAATTGATGCAACACTACCCAGATCCATAAAAAAATCTAATGATATTCTCATAAAATAAATAAATCTTATGATATAGAAATGGGTAAGATTTTTGTATGCTGAAGTGTTTTGTTTTTTGGTAAACTGTTGAAGTGTTTTTCATAAGAATTTAATTTTGATGCAATGTGAGTGTAAAAAAAATTGTCACTTGCATTAAATGACATGTTGCCACATTATTATGTAGTTGTTGAAATAGTCATCCTCATTAAAAATGAGATGGCAACACAAGATTGAATGACAGCATAAAAAAGTTTTACACTGACAAAGTATCAAAATTAAACTCTTCTATATGTCATTACCCAAAACATATAACAGGACATGGTTGCAGTCAACTGAAATTTGCCCAAAATATCACTTGTATGTGTAGTTTTCTCTTTATATCATCATGCAAGTTCAAACTTCAAAGTATATAAGCATACATAAACACCCAAAACACAAAATCGTAAGTAAATTGGCTTCTGCAAGACTACAAATGTATTAGAAAGCACTTTCTGAAGTCAAGGTATTATATAAAAAATTTAAATCACAAACTACATTCAACTTTTCAATCAGATGCTCCCCCTCCCCGCCAAAACAAATAAAATAAAATAAAAAGTCAAAAGAGGAAAAGAAAAGCTGCAAGATAGGAGAAAAAGCAGTAACCAGTAAGTGGCCATGAAGAGTCCCACTTCCGAAACCAAAGGAGGCCACACGGTTTTTGGCAGGTCTAGTTTCATTTACATACAAAACCTGAAGTGGCATCATTAGCCATGGGAGGAACTCCTTGACACAAACACAGAACTTTGTTCCTTGTTGAACTGGTGTTTTCGGATCAACAAATGCCCAATTCAATCCAAAATGCCTGCAAGGAATTTTCCCATATAAAATCTCAGTAAACATACACATGCTTTAAAAGAAGGAAATTTTTTTCTTAAAGGTGAATTTGTCTTTAAACTAAGAAAATAAAGTTGTGCCAACCTTTAAATTTTAGCAAGTTAAGATCCTGATACATTTTACATTAAATCAAGTGAATATACTTTATTTGCTCACTTTACAGAAGCTTTATCCTTAAAAGAAGTACACTATATATATATATATATATATAAACATACCTCCAACTTCGGAGAGCACTTTTGCCCTTTTCAAAAGTGTCAATACCAGAACCGACCAGAACTCGCGCGTTATTTAATAAAAATCCATCTTTGGAGAACCCCTTATCTGCTTTAAGGGAAGACACGGATTTAGCAGTAGCTCCTTTATATTTATCATCGTAGTTGAAAGTACCCGACCTGGTAACATGGGAGAAGGTATGAGCCATAGAAAATAAAGCACTTCAAAAAAGGGTTTCAATTTCCTCGTAAAGAAGTTAAATCATATGTTATTTACTTGTGGATGCAAGCCTTTTGGTCTTGGGGAGAGGGGCGACCCCAGCTCAAAAAAACCATCACTCTTAAGCATTTTCACAAACAGGTCGTAGGATGACAATAACATGAGGCAAACCAACATTAGAACAAAATACAAAGTAAAAAAAGAAATAAATAAAATAAGATTTTGCAAACGGGAATGATAATAATTCTATGAATACTTGTTGAGATTAGAGATAAGTGTGTCTCTACGCTATTTTATGTCCCCGTAGCTCGCAGCTGTGTATGTCGCTATGAGAAGGTAGTGACCAATTACCGCGTCATTCGTCTACCAAATGGGAACCTTTAAAATTTCTGGGAAAATTATAGTTCATAATGGATTCCAAGCTATGACGACATTAGAGCAAGTTGGATTTCATTACTTTTTTTTTTTTTAACTCAAATAGGATAAAATTTGTTTCTGTGCTCAGACCGGATAATTTTTTAATTTTTTTTTAGCAAAGTTCCCTAATCAAAATATATGATGCTTACTTTAATCCTTTATAAAAAAAGAGAGTAAAGTATTCTTTTGTCCTCAACAATAAAACACGGTCTCCACCCAGGTATGGTGACTCAGTTAGTAGTAGTATGGGGACTGAGTAGTGGGAGAGGACCTCGGTTCAAATCCCACCAACACCATCTGGGGAGGGGCATAAGTACCGTAATCCTTGGACTCGCACCCAAACTCTGGATTAGTCTCATAGGCGGCTCAAAGAGTCGAACCCGTGGGGATACTGGGGGTTCTGATTCGCCTCAAAGAAGTAATTAGGATAAGTTACCAAAAAAAAAAACACGGTCCCCACTTTCGTCCCTTATAAAAAAAGTCAACTTTTGGTCTCTCTACAATTCTTGTTCTTTGAAAATGTGATCCCTTAGAAATTCATTGAAAACACGGTCCCCACTTTCGCTTTTAAACTTTTTTTTTATAAAAAAAATTAAGGAGACACTACCCAATAGAACATCACATTGTTTCTTTAAAAAATATATTTACATAAATTAAATATGGGTTCTTTTTTTTGAGATTTTTTGTAACAGACTCAAAAAAGGACTTGATCCTTTAAAAACACGTGGGCTCAGCTTCCTTACTCCGAGTGTCCGACCAACACCGGTGACAGGTGAAAGTCTCATAAACACGTGCTCACCCTCACTGAACTCCAGTGGACGATGCTTGACATCGTAGTAACTCTTCTGGCGATTTCGCGCCTGCTTCAGCTTCTCACAGATCATCTGAATCTGCTGGGTGGTATCTTGGACGAAGTCCAAACCAAACAACTCCTTATCTCCAACCTCAGACCAGCAGATAGGAGTCTGACACCTCCTACCATACAACGCCTCGTAGGGTGCCATGCCCAGGCTAGCATGGAAACTATTGTTGTATGAAAATTCGACCAAAGGAAGGTACCTATCCCATCCTGAACCCTGCTCCAAAGTGCAAGCCCTCAACATGTCCTCCAATGTCTAAATGGTCCGCTCAGTCTGTCCATCAGTCTAAGGGTGATAGGCTGTACTCAGTTTCAACTGGGTACCAAAAGCCTCCTACAGCGCCTCCCAGAAACTGAGATGTGAACTTCGGGTTCCTATCACTAATGATACACTCGGGCACCCCGTGAAGCCTCACAATCTCGCGAACATATAGTCTGGTCAACTGCTCAGTAGTGAAGCTCACCTTAACTGGAAGAAAATGGGCAGACTTAGTCAATCTGTCCACAATGACCTAATAGAGTCAAAACCAGCCTGAGTCTTCGGCAATCCCACCACGAAGTCCATGGAAATGCTATCCCATTTCTATTCCAGAATCTCAAGAGGTTGAAGCTTACCAGACGGCTTTTAGTGTTCTATCTTCACCTTCTGACAAATTAGACACTTAAACACAAACACAGCTATGTCCTTCTTCATGCCTGGCCACCAATAATTTCTCTTCAAATCCTGGTACATCTTTGTAGCACCAGGGTGGACGGTAAACTGGCCCTTATGAGCCTCTGTCATCACCTCAACAATCAAAAGACCTCGAGGAACCACGATCCTCTTCTGAAAGGTCAGCAGTCCATCCTCATTCCAAGACACACCGTCCTGGTTCTTCACATAGTCAAGGCACTCTCTCTGCACTTGCGCCTCTTTAATCTTTTCCATGAGCTCGTTCTCCACTTGCACGGTTTCCATTTCGAGAAGTGCACCCCAAAACAAAGAGGTCACAGTCAGATCTCGAAACTACTCAATAAGGTCATAGTCACCCATGGTCAAACTGGATAGACTCACGGATTTTCGACTCAGAGCATCAGCTACCACATTGGCCTTGCCAGGATGGTACTTCAACTTAAAGTCGTAGTCCTTCAGATACTTCATCCATCTCCTCTGTCTCATGTTCAACTCCTTCTGATCAAACAGATACTTCAAGCTCTTATGGTCACTGAACACGGCAAACTTCATGCCATAGAGATGATGCCTCCAAATCTTGAAAGCAAACACAATAGCTGCCAACTCCAAATCATGAGTCGGGTAGTTCTCCTCATGAGGTTTCAACTGCCTCGAAGCATAGGCGATCACCTTGCCTAACTGCATCAACACACATCCGAGCCCTTTTCCAGAGGCGTCGGCATACAACTCAACTTCCTCAGCAAGATCAGGAAGGACCAACACAGGTGCAGTAGTCAGTCTCTCCTTCAACCCCTGGAAACATTCCTCACACTCGTGAGTCCACTCAAATGGAGTCTCCTTACGGGTAAGGCGAGTCAATGGCAGAACCAGCATGGAAAATCCCTTGATGAACCTCCGGTAGTACCCTACCAAACCCAGAAAACTCCTCACTTCAGTTACCATCTTGGGCCTCTCCCAATCAAGCACAGCCTCAATCTTGTTCGGATCCACAGCAACTCCTTCTGCAGAAATCACATGTCCCAAAAACTTTACGGACTTGAGCCAAAACTCACATTTCGAAGGCTTAGCATAAAGTCTTTTCTCCTTTAGCACTTGCAACACAATCCTCAAGTGCTCAGGATGCTCCTCCTCCGTCGTGGAGTAAATCAAGATATCGCCAATGAAGACGATCACAAACTGATCCAGTTACGGCTGGAAAATTCTGTTCATGTAATCCATGCACATTGCGGGTGCATTGGTGAGTCCAAACGGAATCACTAAATACTCATAGTGACTGTATCTCGAACGAAACGCGGTCTTCAGGACATCCTCCGGCTTCACCCGAATCTGATGGTATCCGGACAATAGGTCAATCTTCGAATAAACACAAGCACCCTTCAGTTGATCCAACATATCATCAATACGCGGAAAGGGATACTTGTTCTTGATTATCACCTTGTTCAGCTGCCTGTAGTCGGTGCACAATCGCATAGTCCCATCTTTCTTTTTTACAAAGATGACCGGTGCTCCCCAAGGAGACACACTCGTTCGAATGAAACCTTTCCCTGAAAGGTCCTCAATGTGCTTTTTCAGCTCCGCCAACTCTGGTGGCGACATCAGATATGGAGCCAATGAAACGCGTCCCACACCAGGCAATAAGTCAATGGAGAACTATATCTCCCTCTGCGGCGGAAACTCAGGAATGTCCTTCGGAAATACCTCGAGGAATTCCCTCACCACAGGAATGCCAGTGATATCCTCCTGTGTCCCACTCACCAAACCTCCCAACATGACATAACCGAATGCCCCTGCTCTCAAGGCTCTCCTAGCCTACAGCAATGAAATATATGGCGAGGAACTAGAGGTGGAATCACATGGAGACATCACCACGCTCTTGGCACAACAATCAATCAATGCACAGTTTCTGGACAACCAATCCATGCCCAGAATAATCTCCAAGTTGGCCATCGGCAATCCTATCAGATCTACCGAATACTCACGGCCATCCCACTGAAACACGACATCTCGATGCACAGTGGTAGAATCACACCTTTCTCCGGTGGCGGTGGTCACCCGCAACGGTGGAGAAAGCACAGACATGAGCAACTCAAGCCCCTCAGCAATCGGGGTAGCAATGAAGGAATGCGTAGCCCCGGAGTCAAACAATACATCAACAGAAGATCTACCAATGGAAATAGTACCTCTGACTAGGTTTGGAGCTCGATCCGACTGCTGCCGATCCAAGGTATACACTCGCCCAGTGGCCGGTGGCACAACAGGTGCCGCTGTAGGTGGAAGAGGAACCATCTGAAGTGGAACTGCCTGAACAGCTGCAGCTCTCGCCGTCGATGATAGACAATCTCTAGAGTAGTGGCCCTCCTTGCCACACTGGAAACATATCAACTGGCCAGAAGAACACGGCCCAACATGAGCCTTCCCACATCCCGAACATCTGGGAGCGGGAGGTCTCGCTGCACTCTCCTGAGCAGAAGTCCTCTTAAACTGATTCGGCGCTTGCCGAGCCGCCATCTGCTTTCCCTTACCTTTGTTACCAAACTTCCTGTCCCGCCAAGAAGTGGAACTACCAGCTACCTTCGTCTCAGCGACCTTGGCCCTCTTGGCCTTACTCGAGTTGCAGAAGTCCTCGATATCCCGACACTGCTGCACCAGTGTCCCGAAGTCTCTCAAAGCAGAACCAGCGAGGTAACCAGCAATATCCTCACTAAGTCCCCTGCGGAACTTAGCAGCCAAGAAGATCGGAGTAGGCATCTCCATCCGAAAGTGTGCAAATTTAACCAACTCATTGAACTTGGCTAGGTACTCGTCAACAGACAACGAGCCCTGTACCAACCTGTCGAATTCCCCTTGCTTCCTCTCCTGAGCATCATAAGGGAAGTACCGACCCAGAAAGAAATCCTCGAAGAATGGCCATGTCATGACATGACCCTGCATCTCAAAAGCGTGAGAGGTGTTCGCCCACCACTCATGAGCATCGCCCTCCAGCATATAGGTAGCGAACATCAGCTTCTGTGGATCCGTAAATTGCATAACCCAGAAGATCTTGTCCAGCGCCTGAAGCCATCTCACTGCAGCAATAGGATCATAAGACCCATCAAAGGAAGGTGGCTTATGCTTGCGAAAAGCATTAAGCCGACGATCAATCACATCACAGTCTTCCGCAGGCTCCACATAGGGTTCCATCACCTCAGTAGCATGACTAGTGCCTTCAACACGGCTCTGGCTCTCGTCCTGCAGACTAGGTGGTGGTGGTGGCGGCGGTGGCGGTGGAGGTGGTGGCGATGGGAACTGACCTACAACAGGAACAACTCTCATCTCCTCCAACATGACCCTCATCATGGTCATGTTCGCCAAACGATTTGCCTCAAGAGCATCCTCTGTGGCCTTCTGGTTCGCCTCTCGAGCGGCGTCCATCATTGCCACATTGGACAATCTAGCGGCCTACTGCATCTCAGCTAATGCAGTCAAGATCGGGTCGGGTTGACCCTCAGCAGTCTCACGGGTTCTCCTGTAATTTACCATGACTGTGCACAAGTTACACAAATTAT